CTATAATTTTAAAAAGGCATGACACACAAGGAAAAGGAGCAGGAAGGAAAGAGGAAAGGAACAAAATCTTTCTGCAGGGCTGGTGGAACAGTTCTGTTCACCTAGATACAGCCTTCATTGTGAGGTGTGCTCTATTTCTATTTGAAGTACTATAATTATTTCTAAATTTTCATCTATACATACTAATAGATATGTAAGGCATTCAGTCTGAATGTCTGAACACTTGCACAAATGTTATGGAAATGCCTGTCCTTTCCTCTTTCTCTTTTTTTGGAGACTCATGAATGGCCACCCTAGCTGAGATTGGGACGGGGACGAAGAGTACCATCACTCTCCGTGGGAAAATGTCAGTCATTGCATCATTTCCCCACGTGGTCCCAGTTCCATCCCTGGGTCAGAAATGTTCTATGCTAAGACTCTGGGAGGGCATGCAGCCATTTGCACCCCTGACTTTTCCTGGCTGAAAGAAGAATGTCCAGGCAGTGGAGAGGGAAGGAAAGAGCAGCCTTGTAGGTACTAGTGCCCAGTTACTCCAATGTCAGTGAGACGTGCAATCTGAACTTTTAAGCAGCTATCCATGGTGCTGGTCCTATTTTGAGAATACGGTTCAGTACCATACAAAGCCGGGGATGGTTCCAGTTAGGGGAAGCTATGAGTGCTCTTCCGCTATAGTTTTTCTCCCACCTGTCATCTGATTACCCTTTAAAGATCAAACTTTTCTCCACAAAGCCACTGACTTCTCCACAATAACTGGCTGCTGCTGCTAAGAATGAGGATGTGGCCCTACCACATTTGACCTTCTGGCATGCAGCAGCATCAAAATCACTACTGAGCATGTGAGAACTCCAGCATGTACTCAGAACACTCTTCTTGCTCTAGTGCCTTTCCTTGGAGTGCAAATAATATGGAGTTTTCCTGATATCCAGTGCCAGGCAGTGTGAGTATGCATCCTGAGAGTAGAGGTGCTTCAAAGAATCATTGGCATACTGTTATGTGCTGTAAGATCATCTCCAACGTATTGGCAACCCTATGAAAGACTGATTTGCAAAATGTCCTATGCTTGGCAGCCCTGCTCAGCTCTCAAGGCTGTGACTTCCTTTATGGGCAAAATATCAGCCCACAGTTTTGTGTGTGGGGCACGTGTGTGTCTTCCAGAGTTTCTGTGAGTCTCTGAGAAAATAATTCCGTATGTTAATAATGTGTGAATAGTTCTATCTGTCTTTCTGTGTGCGCGCGCGCACGTGTGTGTGTGTGTCTGTGAAAGGGGAAGGTGTGTGTGTTTTTGCAAAGTATTTCTGCTGGCTTCCCAAGAGATATACTCATGGTCATTGTCATTACCTTCAAGGAGATGCCCAGAGCAAGTTGGTCCTCCTTATTTCTTACAAATTTTGTATTGTGCTGCTTCTGAATATGCTTGCTCGGGTGGACTCTTTGTGACAGAGATGCAAAGGCATGGATTTTTTATATTTGCAGAACTTGTTCCCATGTTCCAAAGCGTGCTTTTCTGTGTAGCTCTAAGAATACCAAAGGTTACCTTAATCATTATCATTTTTATTATGGCTGTGGATTCTTCCCTCTAATTCATCATCTTATAGGTATAGAAGTTGTTGCTGGAATAGGAGAATGTGGATCTAAATGAGTAATTCTGTGGGGCTAAAAGATTTCCCCCCACTGCCTGCTGCCCTTTGTACATATTGGGCCTCAGTTTTCTCTTCTGTAGTATAGGTTAATGCTTGTGCTCCACCTGCCATGATCCCCTGATCCACTTCTGCTAACTTGCCTTCTGCCCCGCCACTCAGACTGATCACTCGCCTCCCCTATGGATAGCTCCTTTAACATCCAGACTAAAACCCAGAGTGAATATACTACCATGATGGAACTGCAGCCACTAGGTTCCACTGCACATGGTGGGCATGTCATGAGCGGAGCCGGCTAGAGCCGGGGGTCAGACTAGGTGGCCCGGGAGGCCCCTTCTGACTCGCTCTGTTCCTATGTTTCTATGTTTCTGATTTTTAAGTGCCCACAAGCCTTTGAGAGCAGTCAGGTTGGATGCTTGCAAAAATGCAACCCTTCTCAGGTTGGCATCTGGACACTAGTACACCTCTAGCTATAGCACCATTCTAGTTTGATCATGCAAAGGCACCTGCAAGTGTGCATCTCATTAAAAGCAATCCTCTTAGAGGTGTGTCTCATTTCTACTGTTTCCAGGAGCCCTATCTATGCATCAGACCTGCTTTGTTGGATTGGGGTAAGAAAGCATAGCAAGAAGAGAGGGCCAAAACCAAGGGGTGGTTTAAGAAATTAGAGGGGGAAATGGAAATGTTTGAGAGATTGAGGCCAAAGTACATTACATTAGCTCTAATGAACTGCATAGTATCTCTCCAGAAGAGCTTTAATGCTCATTGGATTCATGCACTGTGGTGCATCATTCTATTTTGGCCATATGAATTTTCTGGCTTATTAGCTGTTGTATAAACTGCAAAATGTTTGTTCATTATTTTTCCTAAAATCCTGGCCTGCCCTTGTGTCTGCTCTATTGCAATTTTGTTACACATTTTCGTAATTTATTTCCCCAAAATGAATTATTTATTTCTTCTTACCTTGCCCACTCAGACTCTTTTTTGCCAGCTAAAATCATTTTTGACAAGATGCTGATTGCAAAGTGTTTCTGATAATTTGACTTTGAGCAACTGGAAAAAAATGCCTTTCTGTATTAGTGTTAGGGTTCGGACTGGGGTTGGGGCTGGTCTTGGTATTTGTGTTGTTTCAGCACTGCAAAACTTGACAGACTCCCCCGTATTAAAAATTAAAGTGCTTCCCAATCAGGGGCAGGTCTGTATCCCTGCCCTGAACTCAATTTATTTCTGCTTCTTCTGATTTGCTAGTGGAACCCACATTATTCATTCCCTTGCCCTTGACATTAACAGTGATTCTGGCCATGACCTTCATGCATTGGGCAGGGTGAAATTGGACAGGGTCAAAAACAAGACCCCAACACAATTAGAGGACTCTGTACTGGCAGAAATCATTTTGTTCATCTTGTAAAATCCTTGTGTCATCCATGCCCAAAAGGCTTCTACCAGGCTTTTTCTCAAACCGGGACCTTTAGCAATCAATCTCTAAGGTTGCCTTACCACCTACACCACCAGCAGCCATTCTATAATAATAAGATTGGGGGGGGGAGGGGTTTGCGTTGGTGTGTATGTCTGTCTGTCAACTATCATAACAAAAGGATTTTATGTGTCTATTATTTCCTGGTCTGTCCAAACAGTAAAACTAAGACATTTGAAACTTGGTACACCTGCTATGGAGACCTTAGAGGTGTTTTCTTAAAGCACATGCTTTGATTTTTAAAGGAAATGAATCCATGTGATTGAAGCTTTCTACAGGTAGACTTCCCTAACCAGTCCATGGCTTTGCAGTCCTGACAATTCGAAGCCCGTCCATACAGGATGCTGTAGGACAAGCCCTACCTGTCTAGGAGAGGGATTGGGCAGAATCATCCCTTAGAAAGCTACAGGGGTGCACTAGGGCAGGTGCTATGCTTTTGGGGTACCAGCAGGGCATCTGTTACTCAGGTGGGGTGCAGCACAATATATTCAACTTTGATAACTGGTAAGTTTGCTTGAAGGCTTTGCTGCATCAAATTCATAGCTAGTCAGTGCTCTGCAGAGCCAGGTCTATTTGCTAGTTCTTCATAAAGGTAGGCAGCTTATAGCAACAGTGCTGCCACTCCAAACTGGAAGCAGCCAGCTTTCATACTGTCTAGTGGCAGAATCAGCATGTACGTACTAGGCCTGATCAAACACTTCAGGCCAAGCCAGTTTAGGAGTCATAGCAATTTGCCAGCCACCAGCTGACTTTGATCCTTGGCCCCGCCTTTTGGATTCCAATCTGGCTTTGGTTCCCACCCGCTCCCATTGCCCTGTCCCTTACATACTCAGTGCAAGTTGTTCTGGTGCAGAACCAGACTTGACAAAGCTGTGCCCGTGCAAGGAGGAAAACCTATTGTAGCGTGGGGTGGAGGGGTTGCTCATTCAGAAGTATATTTAGTATTCGTTCATTTATTTCTTTGAAGCTGCTTTCCTAGCACTAAGTTTTTTGTACTAGCAAAAGGCTATGACAGAGACATCAAATGAATGCACATAGTCAACAAAATGAAGAATTTCAGCAATACAAAATAAAAATAAATTGAGATATATCATGAACAGAAATTCATCTTTAATTCTGGATCTCTAATGTCGTTTATAGCAATGTTGTCTAATTCTCTTTTCCTGATCTTTTCTGCTGCCAAAACAAACAATACTACTTTATGTGTGATATACCTATTAATATCACTTAAAAGAAAAAGAATTGTTTTTGCAAAGGCATTCCTGTAACCATATGATTTTTTTTATTTATATCCTACCATTGTGCCAAAAATTGTAGCTCAAGGCTGTATCAATAAAATGTATATTAAACTGTAGGGTGCTGTTTTCTGGAGAGGGGGCAGCTTTTATTCTAACTGTGCCTTGCTTTTTCCACCTAGATGTATTACCAGCATCAGTCCATTTGTGAATTGCCAAAAAAGGCAGCTATGCACCACCAAACAGAGGAAAGTTCGTTGAATAAAATTTACATATGCTAATTTATAGCTATAGATCCAAATTTAGGAATCATTATTATAGTTTCACTAGAAATAAGGTACATCTCACCATAGAGTGGGAGACTGTGGCCAGCTGCCTGGGTGCTCTTGATGGATAACTTCTTGTTCAGCTCTTTCTTCTGATGGTTCTTTATCTTTGCACCAGACCTGGACTGGACAGCCCTTTGAATGAGGGCACCCTCAGAATGACTGCAGGCAATGGTATTTAAAAGCATATTCATTTGCAGAGATGTTTCCCCTTGCACTCTGTTTTCAAGGGCCTCACTTGCTCTTGCACTGACATTCTGAAAGATAATCACCTTTCTTGTTATTCTGCTGGTATTGCAGTCTTCCTAATTTGCCTTTCTCCCCCTAGTTTTTCAGCAAAAAGTGACCAGAAATAAGGCTGGTGATGAGAAGTTACTGTATGCTGTCAGAAAACCAGGTATGGAACTCACCAGTTCTGTGGCTTTTACTGTATTTTGTTTCAGGTTCTGAATAAGTATCTACTAGCCATACACAGGCTTATTTCTCATCTTAAACCTCCTTGCATATAAATCATTAAGATCTCTGCAAAAATGCAATTTGAAAAATGATACCTTAGGCAGTTTTACTTATCATTTCCAGTCTAACATGCCACATGATTTTACTGACCATTAAATTTAGCTGTTTCCACTGCCCTTCCATCAATAGACAAAGGCCACTTTTCTCAAGAGGCCTCTGGCATGCAAGCTAGCCAGATACCAAAGGGAAGCCCATAAATACTGCATGGAGCACCGTTCTGCCCTTATTTCTCAGCAACTGGTATACAAACAGACCTGGGACCTTAGACTATTAGAGTGGCAGAACAGTAAGGGAGCACAATTGGAGGGTTCCCTTTATCTTTAGGGTGGGAAGTGTAGTCCTCGTTGATATGGAAGCAGAGTATCTTTATATGCCCTGAAAAAAAGTGTTATGCTTGGGAGATCCAGGTTCTAGTGCCCATCTGGCCATGAAGCTCACTGGGGAATTCGAGGCCATTCACTAACTCTCAGCCTAACCTACCTCACAGGGTTCTTTTTATGAGGATAAAATGGAGAGGAGGAGAAACCTGTAAACTGCTATGCGTTCCTGGCAAAAGGAAGAAGGGTCAGGTATATATGTAATGTAACGATAATAATAGAAACAGACACGAAAATAAGTTCAACAGATGAAATTATCTGCAGGAACAACAATTAGTTGTTTAAAAACAACGACAGAAAAACAACAGTTGGTGAAAAATGAGCAAAACTGCCCATTGAATAACATGAGGTGAGTTTTTCTCTTCCCCAGAAAAGGGGCATACCAGTCCACTTATATATCAATTCAGTATTGTCAACTCTGACTGGCAGCAGCTCTCCAGGTTTTCTCTAACCTGAGAATTTCTACATGCAAAGTATGTGTGCTACACTTAGCCATGGCTCCTTCCCCAGTTGTGCCTCAGACATTGCTGGGTCACGAAGTAAAGCCTAGCCAGTGGACCTTAGAGAGCATGCCAACTGATAAGGGTGGAAGCAATCCCTTGGATATCTGGAACCAAAACCATTTAAATTTACAACAGTGCAAAAGTCATACTCATGCACAATTTGCTATAACCATCTCCCATGTTTAAAATGTATTTAGTATATTTATCCTGTCCAAGGAAATAACCCAAAGAGCTTACTTGATGCTTCTCCTTCCCATTTTAACTTCACAAGGACTATGCAAGTCCCCCATCAGGCTTCATGGCTGAATTGGAACCTGCACACGGATCCCCTGAGTCCCAGCCCAAGACTCTAACCATGACATCACAGCCGCTCGCCTTGCAACATGCATGTCTAAGAGTCATGCAGCATCTTGCCTGCAGAGCTTCTGTGATTTGGCACTTGGGTTTGAATATGCTGAATGTACAGAAAGAATCCAGCACAGCTCAGTGCTCATCTTTTGGGAAAGCACAATTTGCATACTGTTCTGTTGCTGCGAGATGCTATCTCAGCAATGCTGCACTTCCTGTCCTGAGTTTGTGAACCAAGTGCCTGGCCCTCGTATCATGTGCCAATACTCCCCCTCTTAAGTTTCATAATTAGTTAATGGCATTCTGCTATCTCACAGTGGAAACACCAATGACAACTGAATTTAATGGAAAGTGAATTAATCAGACAAATGGCCGTGAATCTGAATGCTTTGTACACCAAGATACTAAGCACCCCCAACCCCATGGAAGCTAGATATTGGCTTCTTGCAATTCTGTGTGGGCAGCACTCATCTCATTTATCAACAAAGAATTTAATCCAGGAGCTTAAAGCTTATTCATATTGCCAGATTCTCCACCAGGCTTAGCAGAAAAGGCAGGGCCCTGAGAAAGGTGCACCTGTTTTTGACCTCTGTTTAGGGTAGCAGTGGAGTTGCAACACAACATATAAAGGGTGTCTGTAGTGTAAGTTGCTTAAAGATCTGTTGGCAGGTGCTTCTGAGAAGGCAGGGTGAAGCCCCGGGTCCCATAAACATCAGCCATATCACTGAAATCTTTACCATTTGGACCTACATACTATGCTTTGCATTTTAAATGTAGTTCACCTTACTCAATATGGTGTCCCCCAGAGGTGTTGGACTACCAGGGCTATACTCTCTGGGGATGATGGAAATCACAGTTAAACGTATTTGGAAGATACCAGGTTGAGATCAGAACTAACAGACGGTACTGATTCAAAGGAAGTCAGTAAAAGTTGCCTGAGGGCATAAAAAGCAAGTCTGTTAAGGAAAGATTGAAGGGACTGCCTATGTCTCTCCTGCAAGAGAGGGGATGGATGTGATAGTGCTGTTTAAATACCTGAAACCCTCCACAGAGGGCTTGATCTCCCTTGCCCAAGGGCACATCTAGACCTAATGGGCTTAAATACAGAGAGTGGATTTGGGTTGAACTTTAGGAGGAATCTCTTGACTCTCTGAGCCATTTGACAGTGGAAACAATTATCTAGAAAGAATTAATGCTCTATCTCTCTCTCATTGATCACCTCCAAGGAGAAGCATACATGAGCCCTTCAAATCCTATGATTTATTTTGCTTTTATCACACCTTTTCTCCCAGGAACTCCGAGCCATACCTGGCTTCTCCGTCCCAATCTCATCCTCCCCATGCTGTGAATTAGAGTAGCAGCCGGCCCAAATTCTCCTTTTAGGCTCTGCAGCCAAGTGGGAATTTTGCTGTGTGTCATTCTGGCCCTAATCTAGACTGCTAATCAGTCAGTCCATAAGCCACAGCACTGGGATAAAAGGAATAGAAGAAAGTGTGTCCACTAATTCCTTGTGTGGGGTTCCATCTTCTCTACTTTCAGAATCACTCTTTCTATTGATATGAATGCAGACCTGAGCATGATTTTGCCTTATATTCTAGTTGTTTGCATGTGCTTTTTACAGACAGACCTTATGATGACAGGATCACATATAGTACTGTCAAGCCAAGCATCCCTCTGGGGCAGGAAGAACTGATTCTATTGCAGGAGCAGGTGAAGAGGGGGACAATTTCTATGGATGAAGCAGTGGAGAAATTCAAGCAATGGCAGGTTCATAAAAAGGGATTAGAAGCCACCCAGCAGGTAAAATTCCTATAGATGTGGTGGCTGTTTATAAGTGCACCATTATTTCCAACAAGCTACGGCCAAGGCTTGGGTGGGGTTCACTTTTTTCTCATCCTGGGCTGGCTATGTAAACACATCAGACTATTTTCCTTTATTGTGCATTTTGCCAAAATGAGACGAAATCTATGCATCAATTATACATAAACTTTTACAATGGCTGGCCATGTATGCATGTGTATGTATTATACATCTGCTTTTGCTAGTGGTGTTTCTATGTCATTCATTCTAATGTTGAGAGCACCACAATATTTCTTTTATCTTTCCATTATTGTAAGCTGTCAAAGGGGCACAGGTCATGCTTTAACTTCCAAGGATCAAGTGGATAATTTAAGAAAATGTGTACATCAAAAATATTAGAGAGTGTGACAATACAGAGATGATCCTCATTATGACCCAATGACACCGGGGGGGGGGGGGCATTGCTGGGCATTACCTGAACATAAGATTAAAAGAAACAGTAACAATATTACACCTCCAGCAATTAGATGACTTAAACAGGACTTAATTAATGAGATGTTGTGGCATCCAAAAAAAGTGTAAGAAACATTTTTTGATCATTAAGTGGCAACCTGAGGTTTCCTGAAACTTCAGTTATAGATGCTAAAGTGACAATTCACTGCCTAGATTGAATAGGACATTCTGATTCCCTATTTCTTTCCTGCTTTAGACCCTGTGCATCATATTTATTCACCAATAATACCTATCTATTGATCACACAAGTGTTTCAGGCCACTTTGTTTATGTATCTTCCCCAAGATCATATTCTGAATGGTAGAAGACTGCTGGTATCTCAGGTGCAGATCTCTCTCTCACCTGAGACTTGATCCTTTAATTGGAGGTGCCCATGTCTGAACTGAGCTCAACTATTCATGGAACCCAGCTACTCCTCTAAGCCCTAGGGAAAGTTCTACATGTTAGGATTTCTGGACCATGCATGTAGTCCTAATATGCATGTCCTCTCCTCTCCATTTTTATCAGTTAAAGATAATCCACTCTCTTGTTTCAGTCAAACAAAAATGCCACCTGCAAAAGGTGGTTGCATTTTTTTCTGTTTCAAAGCCAGTTCTCTTTTCAAAGTCAAATGTGAGTGGTACTATAATGTCATAACACTGAAAGGGAAAACAGTCAATTTTTTTTACCTATGGCTCAGGTGTATGGAATAAAAGTCTGATTTCTTCTTAAATATGAAATCCTTTAGAAGTCCCTCCCCCAAGTCCTCATTCAGCCCATCCAACCATTCCAAATTAAATTAGAGCTCTTCAGTGTTAAGTAGCATCTTCAGTCTTCAGTTAGAAAAATTATTCAACATTTCAGGGCCAAATTTCTGTGCACCCCCTTCCCAACCCCAACTATGAACGAAAGTCACGATGAGTATCAACGTGGAAATTGGAGCACCTCAGTGGTATGGCTAATTGCACATTCCTTATGAACAGTGCTTGAACAGTGGAAAATACACCAATAATTGTTTTTTTAATCATTAAAAAGAAATAAGATACAAATAAAAATAGAAATAAAACAATCACTCATGCATATGAAAATATACAAATAGTTGTTATTGCTGCTGCTGTTATTATTACTACTGCTGCTGTTATTCAGGATCTGCCAGCAGTGCTTCATAGACATGAAAATATCAGCCCCTGGTCAAGTCCTGTTCACACAAACCAGGTCTTTAAATTAATACATTCATAAGAGTCTAGACTCTCCATGATTTTCCCATTAATCCAGTGTCCTTCATTTTTCATGGGTGGACTTCATCATCTAATATGTAAGGATCGTGCCCTGGTTTCTGCAAGGCAGCTACAGTGATTAAGAGCCACAAATAAAAGTGGCAGAAAGGGTTCTTCCTACCAGCCCATTGTGGTTATAAAATACCTTCTTCTGATTAAAACAGTGAGGATCAAGTCAGCTCTCCATACAGCTGATAATAATTGCCAGCAGCCTTGGGAAGTGGGTGGCAGCACTGGTGATGTTTCATGTGTGATTAGAGATACAAGGGTTGTCCTCAGAAAAAGTTTCTCCCCATGCCTTTTAAACATGATTTTCTTTGCTAAGAAGGTTAAGTGTGCAGAATACTAAAAAACTCTTCTCCTCCAGTGACTCATTTATAATTTTTAACAATCAACTGCAGCCATTGATTTTTGTTCTCGTTTGTGTGTTTGTTTCTTACTTAAGGAAAAAATACGCCAGTTCAGAGACTCTATTATCAGGAAAAGGCCGGAGGAGGAAAGCCTGTATGGTAAATTACATTTAACTAGTATTTCAGTAGGTTGATGAAGGGAAGTGTAGCATTACAAAAAGTAAGCTTGGTGACACCTGTGGAAAGTCTTCTGTAGATTTTCAGTGCTGAAGCAAATTTTTATGGTGCCCTACAGAAAGCAGAGTGCTGTGCATAGTCTGCTCTGCAGGACAACTGGGGAGAGGGGTTGGCTTCAGCTACTGCAAAGTGCTCATCTGCCTGTATTCCTCTCCTTCACCTACCAAAGGACTTGTGGAAAGATGACGAAAGACTGAGCTCTGCATCTTTTTATTACAAATGCGATATTCTGCAACAGGTGTCCTTGGAAGCCACTCAGCTACCACCACTGAAACAGACACCTAAAATACCTAGAGCACTGCGACAATTCAGTGGAACATTCGCATTAATAAATCCAAAATAAAGAGGCCTGACTTTGCAATCTTGATATACCTATTATGAATACAAGGAGCAATTGGCAAATCAAAAAAGGGTCAGACAAATAAATAAATAAATAAAACTTATGTCCAAACATCACGACCATAGGTTGACTTTTATTTTTCTTTACAGACAAGATCACTATTATTCACCATCCAAATGGTAAGCCATATTTCAGATCAATTTCATAAATTAGAGATACATTACACACAATCTCACTCTCCACCCCTAGTAATTTTTCTGAAAGTAACAAGACAGAAATATGATTCCATTAGTTATTTTATCACTGATTCATTTATTTTTGAGCTTGGCCCCTCCCAACCACCCCATTTTTCTTGAGTGTGGGTTGGGTTGGGTTTCATGAAAGGGGCCACCAAAGACTGCTGATCAATCTGGAGAGTGGTACAAAAATTTTCGGGAAAGGGAGCCTATGAGAGAAGATGTCAGGAAGAACTTTTTCTTTTCTTTTTAAAAGCATTTGTTTCCCCTGCACTGCCAATGGCAACAAGTGTATTCCTGCGTGCCATAGCTGAGAAAAAAGATGGCAAACCTCATGGGAACAGCTGATGCAGTAGCTATTGAGTAAATCAAACAAGCTCTTAAAAAGAATTCTTGCATGTCTTCTAGAAGTTGAGGAAAAGCAGTATGGGAAGTGATCCATGGAAGGAAGGATCCATCGGCTAAGTTGCCATAACCCTAGAACAGAACTTCAGATTTCAGGATCCCCATAAAGCAGCCTCTTTGGACAATCTCAGTGCATGAACAAAGACAGATGTGATTATGCATTCTTTCAGGTTAACTGAACTCAGAGAGTGCAAGTCTTGTACTGTGCATTTTAAAACAAGATCTCAGTAGCAAACAACTAAGAATGGGTAAGATTCAAAAGCAGATGTGTTTTTTTACAGTTTCTATGAAAAGAGGAAAAAATCATCTTAATTCTGAAGGCGTTCTATATGCCCATCCTTTTACGAAACAGGTATGCATAAATATTTCCAAAATGCTTCCAGTTTTTTTCTTTCAAAATGTTTCATTTTGAAAATACTGGTTTTGAAACATTGGCCTTAGATGATAGTGGATGATATAATAACTGTTGTTTTGTTAATTGTTTAATAAGCAATAGTAAGTATGCCATTGACTTCTGAAAATATGATCCTGATGCCAGATGCATTTGAACATTTCAAATCTTTCTGGATACTTTTTCTGAAGCTTCAGCAGATTTACTTCCTTTATATTCATCTATTAATATAAAAACTATAAAAATAAAGATTTTGGATACCACTACCCTAGACATTAGCTGTAGCCCTAATAGATTTGGCCTGCATGATCACAATATTGCTAATAAATTGTGTAGGGGCAAGTTGTTCAGGAAATATTTAATGTTTCTGAAGCAACTGTCTCAAGTTCAGTGAAGCAATGTAATTTGCAGTCTTCCAGCCATTTTGGTGTCAAGCCTTTAGAAGAGAGTAGAAAAGAAAATACTCTCTCCTTCAAGCTTCCCATGCAGTCGACTGCCATGGACATATAACCCTTGCCTAATGGGCAATGGATCACCTGCAGAGAGTTTTTGAAGGCAGTCTTTGGGCTGCAGTTTGCTCAGCCCTGCTCTAACTCATGGCAGCTGCACAGAGCTCAAGTTTTGCAGTAAATTGCACTTTTGATCAGATTTTGCCACTGCCCCTGAAATTTGCCCAGCACTTTTGTGTCACTTTCATGGCTACACTCCCCACATGGAAGGCTCTTTCCAGATTGAAGGGTGATACTGCTCCCCTTGCTAGCAACCTAGCCAGACTAATTCCAGACCAGGTTCTACTTTTCAAGGCAGCCCCACATAAAGAGCACTGCAGTAATAAGTCGCTGGGGCATGCATACCTTGCCGCATCCTGAACAGCATTTATAAAGAGCACGTGTCATTTCAGGCTCTACTTTGAAACCCTCCAGAAAAAGAGTGTGTGTCTGCAGATAACAAGCAGTGGTAAGAGCATATTTGCAGTATTTTTTTGCCAGTGGAAATTGTGTTACTTCTTATTCTAGGTTTATACATTTTACGTAATGTTTCTTAAATATTTGAAATGTTTAGTGCAATACTGCTCACATTTTTAGGATGATGATGATGATGATGGGCAGCTTATTTTATATTGTATTTTTGTATTTTTTAATCTAATGTTTATTTTTTTTAATTTAAGATTATAATTATTTTAATTTATTGTTGTAAGCCGCCCCGAGGCTTCGGCGAATAGGGCGGCATAAAAATGTTTTAATAAATAAATAAATGATGATGATAGGGCAGTTGAATTCATATTCAGTACATTTCTTTATTTTGACTTCCTGGTCTGTAAGCAGCTTTAAAATCTGTGGCAAGGAAGGAATATCAGTTTATCCAGGTCACAGTCCTATGGTCCCTGGAACGTTCTTCCAGAAGCCATAACATATAACCGATTTCCATCTCTGCCCATGGAGGCAGTGGTTCATGGGTGAAGAAGGTCTGCCTTCATAAGCCATCCCATTTCTGGCACAAAAACTTCTGTTGCACTTAGAGCTCCAATGGTAAAAATGGTGCCTGCCATGGATAGGTCAGAGAAGGCTTTCAGTCTGCCAGATGCAAAACCCTTCCAACCCAGTTAGCCTGGAATCCTCATAGTGCAGGGTGGAAAACACACTAGCTCTGTACTTGAAGTGCAATTCTGCTTTGTAGCTTGCAGTTCTGGCGCTAAGGTGCTTCAGGTGCAGCCCTACATCCTGCACCTTCAGTACTTGTAAGCCTCCAAACTCAGACGCTTCCATGCATCCTGTGCATTGAATGAAATGCAGTGACCATTTGGTTGTCTAGAAAACGTTCTGGGGAGGGAGAAGGAAGGAGGCTGGGACACCAGTAGGAATCAGCATACGTCTAGCCTCCCTCATCATCCCAGGTGATGTCTGCAGGCCATAGGATTGCATCCTTAGTGTATGTAAGGCAATTCCACTGTTTCTAAAATGTTAGGCACGCACACACAAGTGTTACACTGCCTTAAGCTGGGCGCCCATTCAAAATAAGTGGGGTATTGGGAGGAGGGGGGCTGAGGCATCCAATGAGGGGGAGAGAAAGGGGAAGGAACAAGTTTGTTACCAGGTATTGATATATGAAGGTTTATATTTTGCTTGCAAACTGTGTAAGTATGCCCCACTTGAAGCTCTATACATCAGCACAACCCCACCTAAAATATCAAGAAATAGTTAAACAGAGGCGTATGTTTATCTCTTTTCTGATTCTCAGTTTGATTTGCCCATATATTTTGTTCAAATTGCTTCTGTAGACTGAAAGAGCCTATGGAAGAAAGCTGGACAAATAAGAAGAGCTGCTCAAAGTTGGGAAATTTGCACATATCTATTGTTCAGTAACTGCTTGATTTGCACAAGTTTCCCATTCACACAGAAAGAATAGCGATCAGGAATGTTCACAGAATGCAGGCATAATATGAGTGGCGAGATGGTGTTCAAAGGATCCTGGTGACATGGAAAATGGCTCCTTTGCCTCTCCCTGCCCACATGGCTACGTCTTGCCTGCCATGTGGATGGAAGATAATGCAATGCTCACGCCAAAAATAAGACTAAAACTGCTGGACTCCCTAAAGTATGTATAGTCTACTGCATTTCCCTTTGTAGCTTGCTACAGAAGAGCAATGGCTGGTGGCACTAAGAGCTCTCAATATCACACGACCCTAAGGATTGGTTTCAAAAGCATATATATCATAAAAGGGCCATTATGCTTAAGCTGAGAAGCATCAGCCACTTGTAATAATAATTATTATATTACATGCATTATTATTACATTACATAATAATCTAATGTTCATTTAATGAGCATCTTTCACAGAGAACTTCCTCCCTGATACATAGGACTTCCATTCAACTCCCCGGGCTTTCAGGGAGAAAATTTTCTAGCCCTACTTGAAGAGGCTGGGTCAAACCTGGGAGCTTCTACGTGTAAAACACTGGGGCTCCAGCTGCTTTCTTGCAGGTGTGGAGGATATGTTTATATTTTCTCATAGTATAATTTCCTCCTCTCTTCCCAGGCTGAGCACATGCCAAGCACAATTCTACCAGTTTAGCAGTGGCGTACATCCACTCTTTCTACCATTGCTCTATCACTTTCCACTGACACTGTCCCATGTGAACTGTGGTGCATTTATTCCGTGAACACTATAACACTTGGAAGTGCTTCTCTTTTGAAGTTTCCTTGGAAGTGGTTTTTATTTTGTATAATCACATGCTATATTGTGAAATACCATGCATGAGGCAGCACACTATAAGCATATCCCATTCCAAAAAAGTGACCTGCATGACTCAACAAATCTTGTTTATTGCTTCGAGACAATAATTGTCGGTGTGCAAGTGCCTGCATGTGTGTGTATCTGTGCATGCACATCTTTTAGTTTATTTCTGTTTTCAGCTCAAGAAGTGGTTCGTTGGCGTTATCCTCTAGGTATGAATATGTTTGTGCAAAATGAAAGAAACATTAATTAACTATCAGATCAGTACAGGATTCATTAACTGTCACTTATACACTGAGCCTTCTTCATCTAAGCTACCAGTATTTTCAGCTAGGGCAGAACTTGCCAATGGTTTTATTAATGAGTATGACCTTGCTAGTTGGGGCATCTCATTATTCCCTTCTGGACGAATGTTACCTGCTTGTTAAATTAACTTGTTCATACCTCTTCTTCCCTACCACTGTATATTGTGCTAACAGGATGTTATTTTAATCATTATTCCTATTATTCCACCCTTATTTCTTGTCTATGTTCATTGGAAAATCATGTAAATACCCAAGGGATATGATTGATTAGACTTGATGGTGTTTGGTAAAATTGCTCATGTACTCTTTTAGAAGTTGTCTGCTATGTTCATTGCAGCTATCCTTTTTCAGTACAAATTTTGGGCTGCTTGTTTCAGCCACCTTCCATCAGCCACCTTCCAAGGCCATCTTCCCTTCTTGCTTTTCACCCAGAGCCTCCAGGTAGAATTAGTTCACTCGTTTGGGAACCTTGGCCAATCAGGGTTTGCAAACAGCGGAAGAGGGATACATATGTGGAATGTTTTCCATGCTCAGCCCAAAAATATGGCTCTGGAGGGGCCGTACTCAAAGAGAAGCATCCCATCCAGGACTGGTGGACATGGGTCTCTCCATGTGAAAAGCCCTTTTGTCTTGAATTCACATAGTCATGCCCTCGGATCTAAAAATCTCCTGGGATCAGTATCTTTGCTGTTCGACAATGTTTGATTGTATATCCATTTTTTGCCCTGCTTAAAGTTTGGCTAGTAATACATCTTCTCCATTATTCCCTGCAGAGCATTTTTTGTACTTCTTGTATGTGTTTTCCTGCATGCCACACCACCCACCAATCAGTCCTCATCACATGGGAGGATTCCAGTTTCCTCAAGCTCTGTTGGACCATGCTGAGCCGTGAAGACTACACAAGCAAACATCCTAGGCAACAGGGCCTCCTTTTCAAAAGCCTCCCTCATCTTTGTTCTGGTGAACTTTGAAAACAAGTCACCAGGCCAAGGCAAACAAGCAGTGCAGTTACTGTTCAAATATTCTTTGATGATTGTTCATAAGCTGTGAACTGTTCAGGTTGAGCTAATTATAATGATTATAAGGTAGATGTATATTGCATAAGACTGCTTTTGACCCAGTCATATTCTACCAGCTTTCTCTGTGCATCAAAGTGATATTACTGGCACCTGTCTAGCCATTCAACCATGTGACACTGCAATATCTTTTAAAGAAAAATAAGATTTATGTGAATAAAAATTAGCAGTCCTGAAAATGGCCAGAAGAGTTTGCTATCTTTCTTATTATTTTATGTAACATTTTCATTGATTACATAGACATGCAAATATGAAGCTACTCTGGTTTTATGACAGAGAGGGCCTCAGCTATTGGGCAGTATGAAAATTAATTAAATAAATAAATCAACAAATAAATAGGGTATAAGTATGTCAAGTAAGAAAGTAAATAATAAACCTAACTACAGATCATTCATTGTTTATAGATCCAAGGGGGAGTGATTAGCATATTTTGGGGAAACTGTAGGTGTTGGAAAAAATGCATGTTAAATTTTTTAAGCAAAATTGTGCCCAAAGCCCACTATACAGGACAATTCAAATGACACAGTTGTATGTTTGCATGCAGACCAGGTGAAGGAAAAGGGACTACACTGAGGTGGTTAAACTTTCATCTGCCAGCCTCCTCCCCAGTCTCTCTCTCCTCTACCTCTTCAAATTGTCCTCTTCCCAAGCTCCCCTACTTAAGCAATGCTTAAGGATGCTTCGAAACTGCAGAAAGGTTAGTAGCCCAGAAAGATCCCTATAGGTATGGACCAAGTCATCGGTCCGGATTACCTCTTCAGAGGTCTCCCTTCTCAGGTGGAAAACAGCCCAGCACCAAGCAGCCTCTTACCTGAAGAGGACATAAAAGGGATCTTGAAGGTACAATGCTGGCCCCAAACCTTCATAGTTATCCCCACTCATGTGGGAGACTTTCCCACTCAGAGCATACTCCCTACCTGAGAAGGATCTTTCAGTTTTCTCCTCCCACACACACACATGCACTATTTTGTTTATTCTAATTGCAATTTGTGCTATGTTACAGGAATGTCTCCCATTCACCAAGAAAATTATTATGTTCTAATTTTAGCTATTTCTCCCTCCAAAGAACCATCCAACTGTATCTTTGTACACTGCATTTGCATGTAAATCAGCACTAATTATCTGTACCTATTAGCATGATTACAAAATACAATGTTTACATACCATATTTGGTTTTCTGTGTTTAATACGATTGCCAGGATAAATTATAAACAAAGTGATACATTCTACAGTTGCAAGTCCAATTCTATGACTATAGACTCAGAAGTTGTACCGTGCTTAGTGCAACTTGCTGCAAGATATGGATCCATAAGATTTCAACCCTGGTTACATATATGGGTCATCAGAAAACCCAATGAAAGGGAAAAGTTAAATTAAAGCAAAATGTAACTCTACTAAAGCACCTAATTTGCATGTATTATACATTGACCTTGTGAATTCACAATGACTGAATGTTTACACAGCACAATTACACTGGCAATTCAGTATAAGCAAGTGTAGAGTAATGCAAGTTGTGGCAAAAGATCACAACTTCAAGTGTACACTGATGGGACCTGAACCTGCAGGGACTGAGCAAGAACCTTGAGCTAATGGTGGACAGCTTGATCAACTTGCTGGCCCAGTGTTCAGCTGCTGTAAAAATGACCAGTTAGGTGTAATTAGGCATGGAAGAAAAAACAGAACTGCCAAAATTTTACTTCCCTTGTACAAAACCTTAGTGTGACCACAGTTGGAATATTGTCTTCAGTTCTGGTTGGCCTACCTGAAAAAGGACATTAATGAGTTGGAAAAAGCAGAGAGCAGGGCAAAAAAATGGTCACGGGGATGGAGCAGTTCCTCTATAAAGAGTAGTTATAACACCTGGGTCTGTTCAGCTTAGAAAAAGGTAAGTAATGAGAAACAGGATAAAGGTGTTTAAAACAAGGTACAATATAGAGAAAGCAGAGGGCCATTTTTCTTGCCGCTCCATGACAGTGGAACCCACGAAGCTGATTGGTGGGAGGTTTAGAACAGATCAAAGGAAGTGTTTCTTCATACAACATGAACTATGGAATTCACTGTCACAGGAAGTGGTGATGGCCACCAATCGGGATAGCTTTAAAAAGGGATTGGACAGACTCATGAGGGAGGAGGCTATCTATGGCTACTAGCCTGGCTGGCTATGTGCTGCCTCCTTCACCAGAGGTGGCCTGCCTGCAGGCACCAGTCGCTGAGCTGCTTGGGTGGGAGGTCGTCTTGGTCTGATCCATCACAGCTTTTCTTATGGTCCAGAAGCTGCAGCTAGTTCCCACGGGGACACCCAGCTATGCTCACATAAAAACTGTGCTAAAAGAACTGCACTGGCTGTTTGCGAGTTACCAAACCTTGTCTGAGGTTATGCTGCTGTTATATAAAAAGCCCCAAACAACTTGGAACCAGGATTCCCAGCAGACTGCCTTCTCTTATACACACCCAGGCAGCATTTATGATCGTCAGAGGAGGACTTGAAGGTCATCCCAAAATTAACAGAATGTCATCATGTAATACCATGGCAGCAGGTATTCTTGGCAGTGGTACCTACCTTTTGGAAAACGTTCCCCCATGTAGTTTGGGAGGCAGACAATGCGGCATCTTTCAAATGCCTCCTGAAAGCACTCTTGTTTGCCTGGACTTTTATTGGCTTATCATTAAATGAATCATGCTGCCCCGTTTTCAACTGCTCATCTATTGCCCCGTATTTCTGTAATGGAAATTGTGTTTAATATTGTATTCGAATTGTATTTTAAATGAGATTTTAATGTATGCATGTGAACCACTGAGGGCTTTCATTATTTTTAAGCAGAAAGACATCCTGGCTAATGGGCAGTGCAGAAATTTATTAAATAATAAATAAAATAAGAAAACAAACATCCAAAATAGAGAGAAAAAGATAGATAAGTGGGGTCCCACTACAGAGAAGGCCTTTTCTCTTGCAGCTACCCAGCTTAGTTTTCTTTAACAGGGTCTCCTAAAGGATGACCTCTGGAGATATCTATTTAAATTATAGCAATTCTTTTGAAATTTGCATCTATATGCACATTTGTATATGGAAGCTTTATAAAGACCCATGTCCTCTCTTGCCTGTCTTGCCTGTCTTGCCTGTCTCGCTTGCCTGTCTCTCTTGCTTGCTTGCTTGCTTGCTTGCTTGCTTGCTTTCTTTCTTTCTTTCTTTCTTTCTTTCTTTCTTTCTTTCTTTCTTTCTTTCTTTCTTTCGAGAGACCATGCACAAGAGACCCCCCTCCCCACCAACTCAGATATTCTTAGTGTGATGAGGCTTAATCCAGGATAAGTAAGTATAGAATTGCAATGTCATTTTTTAATCTATTTTCTCAAATGTATTTTGATATGCTGATTTAGCATCTTGTAATCCACCCAGAGAACCTTTGTGTTATGGGCTGGCATAGCAGTATAGTCAAATAAATAAGTACATAAATAAATCCTAGATCTCATAAATTGACATGTAATAGCCAGGAGTGCAACCATTATGGGGAAAAAAGGCTACAAATATGGAACACTTTCCGTGTTGGTGGATTAACCTAGTGGGAGCAGTAATAGTGAACAACAGACGCTCTCTGATCAGCCGTTGAGAGCTTTTCAGTTGGGCATAGTAGGAAATATCAGCGTCTCCCATACTCCGTCACGTGTTGCTAATTGGAATTCCAGGGGAAACACGAGTTGCATGGGAGCCTTAAAGGTGGAATCTGTGGTAGACCAGGAGTGCACCATGCTAATGGGAGACTTGAATGCAACCCCCCCCCCCCCCCCGTAGGCCAATGCAGTGTATAGCTTCCTATGAGAGATTTCCCCCACCTGGTCCACTCCACATGCTTGGGACCACACTTCCCAGGGCTCATGCCTATTTGATATGTTGACTGGGGCTCAAGGAAGTTGAAGCCAAAGTACCTTGAGCCGTGCACCAGGACAGGAAAAGTTACCCTTGTGCCAAGATACATCTTTAATTACAATAGCATAGGTTGTCTCCAGACTCTGTGAAAGCAACTTTCAAATACCACATGATAGTCAATCCTGGTAGTTGAACTAAAAGAGTAATCTGCAAATGGTAAAAACTGAAAAGCAATTTTCCAACTGCATGGCTGACCGAGCTGTTCAGCACAGGAAATTTATTCACTGAATCGTCCCACCCCTGCGCCTTGCTGAGAAAAAGGCTTAAAGGAACCAAAAGTTTTTGCTGACTTCTGCCCCCAATTGTGTGTGTTTTAATTGAAACACGGTGTTTCATTAGCACAGGATGGAGCTTCTAGGTTGCTTACATGCTGTTCATAGAGAGAGCACAGTCAACAGTTCAATAATCTAAATCTGTGATTCAAGGCCATTTGTTGTTAACTAAATACCAATCTGTGTTTTCTATTATTCAACTAGACAGCAAATATGAACACTTTTCAGGGGATATACATGGGTCAATAAGTATCAAGCAGCATGAATAAAAATTTGCCATCCTTCACCCACCAAGCTGAAATTGGCTTTCTAATGTTTTGGAAGTTTGTATTAGTTCCTTTTTATTGCTGTTGTTATTTGATATGTTCTGTAATTCAGCAATTCAGGCCAGAGAAAAGTTGTTCTTTGTGATCTAATTTTGAAATTTAAAACATATATCATATTATTCATAAGGGTTTAAATTGGTCCATAAATTAGATTAATTGGTCAAAGCCCTCTTTAGGGCACAATCCTATGCATGTTCAGACTGAAGAAAGTCTGATAATTTCCTGTTACCATATTGGCTGGGGAATGCTGGGAGTTCTCAGACTTTTCCTGACGGTATTGTTCCCTTAGTGAAGAATTTTAAAATGTTTCTAATATGACTACTTAACAAAACTGCAGACAGAGGGCACCATATTAGAAGAGAGTGGATATGATTTTCTCTTCTTTCACATAAGAGATCATCCTCTTCTAAAATTGCATATACAACATCTTCAATCAGTTGATGGAGCATGCTATTTCATGACCTGTTAATTCATTTCTGGACTGTTAGCACCAGCTTCTTACTGTTCTCTTCTAAGAAGAATTAGGCAGTGCAATCAAGTAGAGGCGCGTGTGTTTCCAAAAGCCCCAAACTGGTCATAGATGTTTGCACTTGCTCCTCTCCTAACACTACATGTAATTCTACTCCAACAGCAGCCAGAGTTGATGCTGCAGCCTCTGCATT